AAAAGCCCCAAGATTTCTCCAAAACCATTTTTAGTTTTGCTTAGTGGAGCATTGAGAAAAAAATAACCTTAAAAAAAGTCATTCTAACAAAAGACAGCTCGCATGTTACGTGACAGGGGAATATTGCACGCCTTAAAGTACAATATGGAATTTACAGAGTTTGATTCGTTTTTTAGAGTGTGTTCGGATGAGCCAGTTTTTTTTTTGTGATGTGATATTATGCTGGTATCTCAGAAGTGTAAAACAAACATATCCCTAAACAAGATGAAAATAACTTGGAAAATCCCTGAACCTGTGTGTATGCTTTTCTGTAGTGCGCAATAGAGCAGAATACATGTCGTTGTAGCTGAAAGCAGTGATTGAAATGAGTACAAGTTAGGAAGACTGCAAAATATTGAAAAGAGCTGCATTCATTTGCGCAACTCCTCTCCAACCCCAAACATTCAAAGGGCTTTAATTGAAGAAGGCGATCTTTGTTTACCTTAGTTTTGTGTCTCCATCAGTTTAGGAGGCAGGGTTCTTTGACCTTGTCAGTTAAGGCCAGCTCAGGCTTCAGCGCGATATCCCAAGATTTGTAATAAGACGGAAACCGGGTGAAATAGCTTCCCTTGTTGGGAGTCGAACTTTTACGAAGAGTCTAGCTTTTACATCTTAAACGTCAGTGCGAATGTTTGTTTCTGATAAGTACTTTTTCTACCTGACTTTTAATAGCATACAATATACAAAAAGCATAAAAACCATAATTCAACGACACAGCCCCACCCCCTCCTCCTTCATAAGAGTGATCTGCTGTTGAACTTGCTCTGCCAGCCACGCGTATAAGACAATAACCTCTTGAAACGGGCCATTCCCCATTTCCTCCCTTGCGTATTTTCAAACGTTATAATGACATTGTGTGAGACGGTCACCTATCTAAGACGACCACTTTTCTCTTTGACAAAGACTTGCCATTTTACACAGTTTCTACTGTATTTTGTCCTCGGATAAAAATATCTCACCCAAGCAAGACTCTCTCCACTTCTCAGGTTACTATCTTTTTGGAGCCGTGCCGCTTGCAGTGCTTGTAACTGTTTGCCAATTACTTTGCGCCACTGACCACATACAACCGGGGCCATAGGTTGAAACAGCCCGCATGTTAGAAGGTCCGTCTTCAATTTCAGAGTTTTATTCAGGAGATAAGGAGGGCGGGAGGTTGCGTCCGGTTACTGTCATCAGACATGTTGTACCCGGGTGGTTGAATACGGTTGCTGTCATCAAACATAGGACTATCCATTTCTGGTATTTCAAAACACCATTAAATATATATTATAAAGATTTTACTCTTGGTAAAAACCCAAAAATATCATTAGCCCTTTCTTGTTCCTTATGAAATAGATTTTTTATTCTGCTCTTCTTCCTTGCCTCATAGCCAGTCATGTAGAAGCTTCTTATTAGACGGAAGATTGAAAACGTAGTTACTAGTAGCATGAAATTTCATTTTTTTGTTGCTTGCCCTTTCACAATAATTGTGTGATCAAAGCACAATTATATTACTTTATTCTAAAAGGGGAAAATGGGGGAGGGGGGGGGGGGCTTGAAATACCCTATACAATATAGTTGGTTAGTTGGCAAACTATTCAACTGTTCTAAGTTTTTTAAAAATACATTTTTCAAGATATTGTAAAGAAATCCCAATCCAAGTTGCTTCATTTTTTTTAACAATTACACCTACCCTGTGTATTTTTCCTTGCCTCTTTCAACTTTTATAATTCTGATACTATCAAAGTAGTTTAAAAAAACCATGCAAGTGATACCACAGGTTTAGAAACTGCAATCGTTTCTTTATTCACTTTTGGGCTTAGTGCATCGGTGAAAGCCTTAAAAATCCCATAATCAAACCATGTTTGGGGTTCAGACCGGGGCCACCAATGAAGTAGTCACGCTCAATAAAAATTGAAGGTACGAAAGCAAACATGTCTGTGCAAGGAAGAGTGTTGTGCGACCTTTAACTTGAGGCCCAGACGTAGAACAGTCAGTAAACACAGGTTTACAATGAATGTCAACAGTTCTCTGTCGAGAGAATAATGTGGTGAGTCCTTGAGCAATGGACGATAACTTCACATAAAAAAGGAGGACGCAACGGCGGGTCGACCAGCATTGGGAATTTAATATTGACATTGCTGATCTTGCTATGTAATTTTGTTGTATCTAGAGAGTGAGAGAGAGAGA